CAGGAAAAAGTATAACTATAAGAAAGAAAATAATCAAAATCAACAAACAACTATGAAACAGAGACACTCTATGGGAGGCAGTGGGGGACAGGGAAAGGAGGGATTGGGGTCAAAATAAGGGGGTTGTAATTGTATGGGGAATATAAAAATAAAATTTAAATAAAAAAACAAAAATAAATAAAAATGAACAATGATGTAAAAAAATAAAAGACATGATTTCCGGGAAAAAAATAAAATAAAATAAAAAATAAACTTTATACCTTATTTAAGCAATTAAAAAAATAAATTATATAGAAACACAAAACAAAGGCTCAGACAAAACCAAGGTATCACAAACCCTTGACATCTGACTATAAAACTGAGGCAACAAGAGGGGAAGGTGGCGGGATAGGAGCAGTGTAGAGGATTATTGGGGCTTTGGTAATGAGCAATGCTGTGGAAATAAACATCTGTAAGAGATTTGAACCTATAGCTGCTAAAACGAATACCATGTTATAAACCAAATTTACCTCAAGTAAACATAATTGGGGAAAAATAACGTATATAAACTCATAATTATATTAAAGATAAAGATAAGAAGTACTCAAAATGCATGACTTCCTAATTCCAATCACTTCCTAACAGGAACTAATTTTCCTACTATCTATACTCTTAAGGTTATTGAATCTATTGTATGTACTGGATAGAAATATTGGGCCTCCCTGGTAGCACAAGGGGTTAAGTTGCAGCACCATAAGGCTATCTGAAGCCAGGGAGTTGACCCACATGGCGCAGCAGAGCTCTCCTGTCTCTCCTACTGCTCCCCTCAGCAGTGTATTTCACTCAATCTGCCTGTTCTGTTCCCCACTCTGTCTCTGGTGAGTCCTCTCACCACCCCCCCACACACACACCTCTGGCCTGTACCCCGGCTCTTATATGCATAAATAAATAAATCTTTAAAAAAAAAAAGAAAATGGTATGGTAGGAGTATTTACATTATGAAAATCAGCAAACCTATTAAGCGTGGCTCCTGTCACACTAAAGCCAGTGTTAAACACCTACCAGCAACACTACTATTCTGTCTTATCATAAACTTACTCTGTCTCCACTGTCATCTTATGTTCTGATCTTCAGTTCCAGATTTCCACTGCTGGAAAAAAGAAACCAAGAGTTGGATGATAACTTAAAAATGAATTAGCTGGGCCTCCCTGGTGGCGCAAGGGGTTAAGTCTCAGCACTATGAAGCTATTGGCAGCCACCATCCAACATGGCACAGCAGACCTCTCCTGTCTCTCCCACTGCTCCCTTCAGCAGGATATTTCAGTAGATCTGCCTGTTCTGCTCCCCACTCTGTTGCTGGTGAATCCTTCCCCCCCCCCCACCCACACACACCTCTGGCCTTCACCCCAGCTCTTGTATGCATAAATAAATAAATCTTTAAAAAAAATTAGTGGCTTCTCTGGTGGCACAAGGGGTTAAGATGCAACATGTGAAGCTACCCGCAGCCACTGCAGCACGAGTTCCATCCCCGGCTAGGGAGGTGACCCATGTGGTGCAGCAGAACTCTCCTGTCTTGCACACTGCTCCCCTCAGCAGTATATTTCTGTTCTGTTCCCCACTCCGTTTCTGGTGAATCCTTTCACCCCCTACACCTCTGACCTGTACCCCAGTTCTTGTATGCATAAATAAATAAATATTTATAAAAAAAAAACAAAAACAAATTAGCTAATAGATGTAAGACTAGGGAGATGAACACACAGGTTGACTGCAAATGATTTGTAGTCTCTACTGTGGAGTGTTTGTCTATGGCTCTTCTCAACTTCCAGGAGACCCTCTGTTCATAATGTAGGACTTTGGTCAGTCTAGCACAAGGATCCGGTAGATAGAGCCCCAAAAGATTCAAAAAGCCATTGGTTATCCCCCCAGGTACCCATCTTACCAGTCCATCCTAATGGCCAACTGAAGAGTTAAAAGGTATGATAGGATGGGGTCTCCCTGGTGCCACAAGGGGTTAAGATGCAGCCTGTGAAGATGTCCGCAGCCACTGCAGCACATATTTGATGCCCGGCCAGCCAGGAAGCAACCCACATGGAGCAGCAGACTTCTCTGGACTGCTGTTCCCCTCAGCAGTATACTTCAGTCGATCTGCCTGTTCTGTTCCCCACTCTATCTCCGGTGAATCCTCTCACCCCCCACACCTCTGGCCTGTACCCCAGTTCTTGTATACATAAATAAATAAACCTTAAAAAAAAAAAGTATGATAGGATGAGTCCCAAGCTCACAGGTTGGAGAAGACAAGACTTCCATACTTTCGGCCTACAATCACCTCTAGGATTTATAATTTTTTTAAGGATTTATTTATTTATGCATACAAGAACTGGGGTACAGACCAGAGGTACAGGGGGTGAGAGGATTCACCAGGGACAGAGTGGGGAACAGAACAGGCAGAATGACTGAAATACACTGCTGAGGGGAGTAGTGGGCGAGACAGGAGAGGTCTGCTGTGCCATGTGAGTAGCTCACTGGCCCGGGATCGAACTCGTGCTGCAGAGGCTGTGGAGAGCTTCATAGTGCTGTGCTTAACCCCTTGCACCACCAGAGAGGCCCTCTATAAATCTTAAAAATAGATTTATAGCATGTAAAATTGTTGGGAAAGTCATTAGAGGTCATTCAACAGTCAACATTTTCCTCACTCCTTCATTCTACTCCCTCGTTTAATGGAAAGTGATTCCATCCTCATGGTAGAAAATAGCTTGTCCAAGATCACACAACCAATTAGTGGAAAAAAACCAGGCCTTATACCTAAAGCAGAGGTCCATCCTTAACATCCTGAATTCCTTTTAGAGAAATTAAATGATCTCTAGAGAATCTAAATAAGAGCAAGCACAAAAATTCAATATTCTGCTTCTTAGAAAATAAAGAATACTCTGGTAGAGCATAAACTAAATAACAGGTGCAATGCGGAGACAGAAGAATAAGACCCATTGCTCATACACAGGAAGTGAATGTGGAGCTACTCAAAAAACTCTTTCTGGGTGGGGTGGAGTGACTGTCTCAGAGCTAGCTAGAGCTGACTCTGATCTAACCTCAGAGTGAGTGGCATGGAAATAAAATTTGATGTCTTAGTAAGTAAGGGAAAGTTAAACAGATTCTTGATTGGGAAACATTACTGAGGCAAATTCAGTAGACGGTCCCCAAGTGACTCAAGTCTGGGGTACCTCTTCTCAAGCAGAGAAGTACACAAGCAGGCAGAAGAAGAGAACTCACTGGACTGAGAGGCAGAGTTTTCATTTTTGTTTTTTTTCCCCCTGATGTTTTTCTTTTTCTTTTTAAAAGATTTATTTATTCATACAAACACTGGGGTACAGGCCAGAGGCAGGAGGGTAAGGAATCCACCAGAGACAGAGCAGGGAGCAGAACAGGCAGAAGGACCAAAATACTGCTGAGGGGAGCAGTGGGCAAGACAGGAGAGGTCCGTCATGCCATGTGGGAATCTCCCCAGCCAAGTAATAATCGAACCAGCGCTGCGGAGGCTGCGGGCAGGCTGCAGGCAGGCTGCGGGCAGCTCCACAGGAAAGAAGCCTAGGCTGCGGGCAGCTCCACAGTGCTGCACTCAAACTCGCTGCGCCACCGGGAAGGCCCCTGAGTTTTCAATTGTTAAGTACATTTTGCATTCATGACATTGGCACCCACCCTCCTAGAAAAATGAAACAAAAAATACAAAACTGGAGCCCAAACTTCCTATTAGTTTTAACATATCTAAAGTTACTCTATGAAGTTACTATGAAATTTCTAAACACTTTCATTTCTATGCTTATCTTGTCACATAACTATTATCTGCAGATAATAGTCTGCAGACCTATACAAGTTCTGGTCCATACTTTGAGTGTACTCTCCTAAAAAAGCCTGGGGACTCCTCAATCCTTGGAACTCCACTGGTAGGGTATATCTGAGCTCCCCTTCTCACCCAAATCAGGTCAACAATGCTGGAAAGTGATCAAGATACTATGCTGGCTACAGAAAGATGAGTCGGGAGGGTGACTTTCTATTTGTACCTTCCTCTGAGCCTGTCTAGTCTATCCTTCCCCAGACCTAGGAAAGAGCTTCACCAAACAAGGAACATCTCCACTTCTTCACTGGAGTACCCAGCCACACCTAATGGTGCCTTCAGTCCCTTCTAGGGGCCACAAGTTCATTCATTCATTTGTCCTTTCATTCAGCTTCTTCTTAAACATTAAGAATATGAATTGAATCTAGAAAATATATTCCTGGCTACGGAGCTGATGTCATACAATAAAGTAGTGTTTGGAAAGAAAAGCATTTGTCTTTTCAACCACAGCACCAAAGGTTGATTTCACATATACAAGCAACTAACAAATTAGAGCTCTAACACTCATATATGAAAGGGTAGGTCTACTAGGTATGAAGGAAATTTACCAGAACTTAGTTTGGTGGAATGTGACAGAAAGGATGTAGAAAAGATGATGTGTGAAGTGTTTCTGCACAATTCCATGACTTTATTATCACCAAAGGAGAAGGTAGGAAAGGTACAATCACTGCCTTGGGTAAAAACAGCAGGAAGGGGTCCCAAATAGAGTTCCTCTATAATTATTAACACCTTGGGGAGGAAGGCAAGGCAAGGAGTTGTGTTTTCACTGCAACTCTAAAGGAGAGGCCCCTAGCTGTAGGTTTAGAGACCTAATCTGCTCTGGGCTACCAGATTCTGAGAAATGAGCCCTCAAGCAGAAAGAGGCAAAAGGCTTGTAGAGGAAAGAAACCTAGGTAGGGAAAAGCTTCAGTCTCTCAGTCAGTCTGGGAGGGAAGACTGGGCGGGGTGGGGTGGGGTGGGGCGGGGCTTTCCTTCAAGACTTTGGGCTGAGTCCCTCCTCCCTTGTCCCCCATTGGGTCAGTGGCTCCAGCAGCCCAGCCAGTGAGGGACGAATGAGAAGAGCTGTTGGTTTTTTTCCCCCTTGGTCATTCAGAATTTCCCCATATAAATACTGTGAAAGACCCTGCCTCCTCTCACTTCTCTGGACTTGGCCCTGGGCTGGACTTGGTCCCCTGGTAGTGGGCAGGGCCATGGGGGACCTCTTTATGCTCAAAGTGATTGTGGTCATATGCTATGCCACCTTCAATGCCTCTGCCTGGTAAGTTCTTTTCTCTATCTCCCACTTTATACCAAGGGAGTCCCCATTATTTCATCCCCATTCACCATTGCCTTACTTTTTCTTTTTGGTAGGTCTGTGAATAATTTCCTGATAACAGGTCCCAAGGTAGGATGATCTTTGGGTCCTGTTTTTAACCTATCTTGGTTCCTAAGAGAATTCTTTGGGGAAGATGGGAAAAAATGGGAGGGGAGGCAATGCCAGAAGTCCCTCACCCAGAGACAACCAGGATTGCCCCTTAATGGACAACTAACTCATTTGAATCTTGCCTATACCCTCAGACGACCTCACTTACCCCAGGGCTGAAGCTCATAGCCCTTTTCCCTTTGCTAGGCTTATCTGACCTACACTACAAGTGTGGCCCTGGGAGCCCAGAGTGGCATCGAGGAATGTAAGTTCCAATTTGCTTGGGAACGCTGGAACTGCCCTGAAAATGCTCTCCAGCTCTCCACTCACAACAGGCTAAGAAGTGGTAAGTTTGTGCACCTGTACAAGGGGATACATGTGCACAGAGGTAGCCTTGGAGCATGTATGTATGAGTAACATATATGTGCACAGTGAGATGAAAAAGTTATTAGTGATCTACTGACCTGCCACTTCCTATGTGGCCTTCAGTGAATTATTTTACTTCTCTCAAATGTCATTTGGGTCAGTAAGATCAACTCTATTTAAGTCACAAGGAATAAGGGTTAAATGAGGTAGCTACGAAGGTATCTCTAGACAAATGTAATAAATTACTCTTATTTTTTAAATGCACACCTGGATTTGTGCTTATAAACACTTATCCTGCACTGACTTGCATGAAATGGAAAGGGCAGTGTCTGCAGCCCTTGAGGGAGTTTCACATCTGCCCAGCTGTCATAAACTCCCAAGAGTGAAGCTGAGAGATCACTTTGAGCCTTGCCTCACTTGGGGCTTGTGTGTGTGCACGCACATGTGCATAAATACTGTGAAAGATACTGCCTCCTCTCACTTCTCTGGGCTTGTAACCGTATGCAGTAATTTGCATAATAGTTGTTAGCTGAGGACAGTTGGGGGGAAGGGAATAAAGAAAATGGGAATGAAATGTCTTCCCATAGGGCAACACAGATGGAATGAGCAACATGTAAAACTGAAGTTGGCAATGTTTATAAAGAGTTTAGTAAAACATGAGTTCAGGAAGTGTTAGCCACGACCATTATGATTATAATATGGCTCCAGTTTCATGTCAAAAAAAAAAAAAGATCCTCTTTTCTTTGCTAAGCCAGGCTCATGGCCCTAAGTTCTCTTTGCTAAGCCAGGTTCTTGGCCCTAAGTTCTCACTATCTGAGGACCAGCAGCAATGGCTAACTATCACAGGTCTAGCTTTGGACTCTGGAGAGAAGGGTCCCAGTCCCAGCACCACAGGCAGTGAGGAAAGTAGCCTTGGTCTCATCTCTCTAGCTCTGGACCTCACTTTTCCCATGGCAGCAAGTGGAGGTCATTTTTCTGTCAGGATGAAGTAAAGATGCTGGGAAAATATGCACCATTCTCTTAAGTAGAATACGTCCTCTTAGACCCCAAGGAGGCTGGGGACCAGCGGAGAGAAACAGCATTGCTTTTCCAAAGTATCTGCTTTGGGCCATCAGGATTCAAGTTTTCAGTCCCTTCTTTCTCTCCAAAGCCACTAGGGAGACTTCCTTCATTCACGCTATCAGCTCTGCTGGAGTCATGTACACCATCACCAAGAACTGTAGCATGGGAGACTTTGAAAATTGTGGTTGTGATGAGTCAAAAAATGGGAAAACAGGTAAGTTGGGCTCTTACCTGTTTGGGAGATGGGAAGAGGAGAGGGCCTACAGGACAGAGTGCACATTACAGTCTTCCAGGGAAAGGTTGAGGGACACAGTTTCCTTATACCCGTAGTCTATATCCAGCAGCAATTTCATTGTTGGGGACTCCCTGGATATAGACTTTCCTAAGTTGAGACTGGGGCCACAATTCCAGGGATCTAAAAATAAGAAGGCATCTAGCAATGAGGGGACATAGAAAATTTAAAGATAATCCCCCACTTCAGGCTAATAATGACTTGTCCATAATCTGGAGCTACTCAGTTATTTGCAGAACACCTGAGACACTTACTCAGATTTTTCACTAGTGAGGGAAGAGCTGGCTCAAACAAGACTATTGTAGGAAGACAGTGCAGAATTCCATAATGTTTGAGCAGCAATGAACAATTGAGATCATTTAGACCAGCTCAGTGTACCTGCTTTAACAGTAGGTACAGAGATTAACTGCTTAGAGTTGGGAAGTGCTTGAAGCATGGGCAGTCAATTATGAGAACAAGACTACTCCCACTCTGAGCACCTCTCACTTTCACTGTCTCACCTTCAGCTATAGCTTCACACACTTCTAGGGCTCTTGGGGAGTGGTTTTGCTGTGTCAGTCAAAATAATCATGACTCTTCTCTTAGGACTTAGCAGAACTTTCTTTTCTCTTTATGTGTAGGAGGCCATGGCTGGATTTGGGGAGGCTGTAGTGATAATGTGGAATTTGGAGAAAGAATTTCCAAACTCTTTGTGGACAGCCTGGAGAAAGGAAAGGATGCCAGAGCCCTGATGAATCTTCACAACAACAGGGCAGGCAGGCTGGTGGGTATAGGATTTGGCCAGTGAGCCATCAGGGGCAGTACTGGCAATATCCTCACATCTGTGCAGCCCTTTACAACTTACCAAGAGCTGTCTCATATCCGTGTTTCATCTTCACACCACCCAGCAGGTCTGGGATGGCTGCCCCTATTCTCTGCATGACAGGGCTCATTAAGCCTGAATCAAGTGACTTGACCAAGTGGCTTGGCCAAGGCAATACAACTAGTAAGTATTAGAGTTGAGCAAATAATCAGATCTTTTAGTCTAGTCCTCTTATCACTTAACCGTATGTTCTTACCTCCTTCACAGGCAGGTTTCTAAGAACTTTTGGTTTCTAAGAAACAAATCAAGGCCTTTCTTTTACAACTTAATTTTAACCACTTCAAATGCATGTTCTAGAAAATTAAGAGGGGTTTATTAACCAGCCTGTGTTCTAAAATAAATTTGGGTTCTGGGACTGAGACTGATTTAGGCTTCCCTGGAGGGGAAGTGTTGGCTCCCCCCAACACTTCTGATAAGGTAGCAATCCCTGGAGTATTATCTACTCAAATCTGGAGATTTCCTTTTGAACCTGTACCTAGATGTCTCAGATGCTCTAGGACAAGTAGAAAAGGTTTTCAAGGTAATTACCACCATGCACAATTGCCTTGGAGACTGAGATTCGACTCAGGGAGGTTCCTTCCCTCTAGGAGAGCCCAGAGGACAAACCCAATCTCCCACAAATACTCCAATCCCCAGTTTCAAGGCAGTAACAGTGCCCATGATCATATTTTACTTCATAATTTATTTTCTCAATCATTCTTAAATCCAATTGGGCAGATAGAGAAACAAATTCTACAAATGATGGAGCTTAGGCCTACAGCCTAGGCTGCCTGACTCCAGTGACCTCAACACTTACCTGACTTTGCATAAGAATCATCCAAAGGAGCTTTAAAATCACCAACACCAAGGCCTTTAAAGCCCTGAACATTCTATTTAACAAGATCTGAGGTAGGCTCCAGAAATAAAAGTATTTTCCCCAACCTCCCCAATAATTCTGATGTTCCTCTAAAGTTAAGGAATTCTATTTCACTGAGCCTTGGGTCTTCCCTTTTGGGTTTCCCTCTTTTGTTTTGTCTCTCTGAAGGCAGTGAGAGCCACCATGAGAAGGACCTGCAAATGTCATGGCATCTCAGGGAGCTGTAGCATTCAGACATGCTGGCTGCAGCTGGCTGATTTCCGGGAGATGGGAGACTATCTAAAGGTCAAGTATGAGCAGGCACTGAAAATTGAGATGGATAAGCGGCGACTAAGAGCTGGTAACAGTGCTGAGGGTCACTGGGCACCCATGGAGGCCTTCCTGCCTAGTGCAGAGTCAGAGCTGATCTTTTTAGAGGAATCCCCAGATTACTGTACCCGGAATTCCAGCCTGGGCATCTATGGCACAGAGGGCCGAGAGTGTCTGCAGAACAGCCACAACACGTCCAGGCAGGAGCAACACAACTGTGGGCGCCTGTGCACTGATTGTGGCCTGCAAATAGAAGAGAGAAGAACTGAGGCCATCAGCAGTTGTAACTGCAAGTTCCAGTGGTGCTGTACAGTCAAGTGTGACCAGTGTAGGCACGTGGTGAACAAGTACTACTGCATGCGCTCCCCACGCAGTGCTTGGTCCCTGGATAAGGGCAGCACCTAATGGTACCTCATACAAATTCACCTGTTCACTGTGTGACTATGACAACAGGGGGGATACAATTTCTCTCTTGAAGACAGAAGATTAGAAAACACTTGGAAAATCATAGGATTGGTCTGTAGTCCTCTTGATATCTGCTATAGATGGGAAAATGGAGGCCCAAGATAATACTGCATATTCTGGAAAGAACTGAAATTGGGACCTGGGCAGGTTCCTAACTTGGGCAGACCCAATTTCATTTTCCTGAAGCTTACTTCCTAATCTTTGTGCCTATGGTTAAAAGAACTTGAGGAAGGAGGGGTGGGTATGGGGGTGGGGGAGAGAAGGTTGATTTGAGATACATATTGAGAAGGATCCTTCTCAATTGAGAAGGATCCAAAGTATTTGTTATTGTAAGTTACAGACCATGTCTAATCAAACTGTGCTGCTGAGAATCAGAGGAATTGGAAGTAAAATCAGAATTTTTTCAGACTCCTAAAGACTCAACCTTCAGACAAGCTCCAGAAAGACCAGCTACAAGTTCATGCAGTTAAGTGGGACAGAGACCACATAGATGCCTATTGGGAAGTTTTTAGACAGTTGGGTTTTTTACCCGAGCATGCACTTTTAAAAAGTTCTCCCCACCCAAAACTGTGAAAACCAGGGCCCAACATAACATGTGAACTTTTCCAGCTCAAAACTAATCTCTGGAGACATGGAAAGAAGGGCTCACAGTAAATGTACACGTAACTACAACTTACTCAGACAATGCTCCCCATGAGGGACTTCCCCCCAAAGAGCTGTAAAATGACTCTGTTTTGTTATTTTTTCCCAGATTGGGAACTCAACTTCATTAGGCAATAAATATTCTAGAAGATAGATAGATAGATAGATAGATAGATAGATAGATAGATAGATAGATAGATAGATAGATAGATAGATAGATATTGGTATATATATATGTTATTTACCTATAGCTGAGTTCTTTTATTTCTCTCTTTGGAAGTCTTAGGATGAGAAAAGGAGTGGGAAACCCTGCACTATACCCCAGTTATACACATTGCTAGGAGAGAAAAGAAGATATGCAATCTTCTTGATATCAAAGTTTAACAGATAATAAAATTGAGACCTAGAAACTGGTCAATAGGAAAGTAATTCAGACTCCCAAATTTACATGGCGTTATTTTAATGAAAACTAAGCAACTTGGGGAACAAAGAAACCCTTTGAATATGAACCATATACACAGTGTATTTGCTATCTTAGCTAAGGCTTCCTGGGGCTTCTGTACACCCAAGGACCTTGAGTCCCAGGGGAATAGGACTAGGAAAGTTGTGGATTCTATCTTCTTCATTTGCACATCTACATCACCAGTGGTAATCTTGGTGGGGTTGGGGGGGGGGGACTAATTTCCCGTAAAAAGAACCTTAGGGGCTCTGGTTTTCTAAATCTGAGCATTTCTGTGTCAAGAGTCTTCCTTTTCTGCAAGACTATACACCCTGTGGGAGAGGGGATTTCAGATATGTTAAATAAACAAGTAAAATGACTGATAACCAAGAGTGAGAAAACATTCTCAGTTTAACATTGTTAAGTTGGCAAAATAAATATTCAAGAATAGGACAAACTATTTAACATATGACCCCACAATGGAATATTAACCATTAAAATAATATTCTGGAGGAGGCCTCCCTGGTGGCACAGAGGTTAAAGACATATTGCTATTAAGCTATTGCCAGCCACTGCAGCACAAGTTTGATCCCCGACCAGGGAGCTGACCCACAAGGCACAGCAGACCTCTCCTGTCTTGCCCGCTGCTTCCCTCAGCAGTGTATTTCAGTACATCTGCCTGTTCTGCTCCCCACTCTGTCTCTGGTGAATCCTCTCACCCCACACACCTCTGGCCTGCACCCCAGTTCTTGTATGCATAAAAAATCTTTAAATAATAATAATATTCTTGAGAAATATTTAGTAACATGAAGAAATATGAGGTATATCTTTGAGTGATTAATTACAAAACATGATCAGGATAAATCCAATTTTGCTTTTTAAAATATGAAAAAGTTTACCATCATGTAATAGCAAAATAGAATGATTTGTTTTATTTCTTGTGTTTTTCTGAATTTTTATATTTGCCTACAATAAACAAATATTTTTGTCATTAAAAGAACAAGTTATTTTTTAAAATATCAACAGAGGATAGCAATCTTTTTTTTTTTTTGGAGTGAAATTTATTAAGGAAGTTGGCATCTCAAGAGAAACCATAAGCAGGTGCCTTGATAGTCCGCTCTGGTCTCTACTACTTTTAGTGCATTAAAAGGACAGATGCCAGAGACCAAAGTCATTAAGAAATCCATAAGAATGCAGGCTGTGTTTAGGAAATGAAAGATTTCCTCTACCTCCTTCTAAGGAAGATTTAAAAAAAACAACAACAAACTACAGTTAGTGACAGAGAAAGGAGTGATGGGGGCAGGGATGGTGGTTGTGGTGGTGGAAGAGGAATGAAAGAGACACTACTACCTAAGTACAAAATCATGGAGAAGAAATAGGCAACCAAATTGAGCAATAATTTCCCTAGGGCTCAGAGGGAAAGAAAAAAAATTTAAATCCTCAAAAAATACAGATGCCAAAATCCCCATCATAAAACCTTAGTAGTGAGAGTAAGAGAAATTGAAGTGAACAAACTGGGTTTTCTCCCTTCCTTCCTAAATGAACCTCCATCCAAAGAACCCATGTATCTGATGCTTTGACATTTTCCCCAGGACCTTGGTGACATTCCTAAATAAACTTTGGGAGGATTTTTAGAATCAAAACCAACCCTGCTGCCCTGTTCAAATGGTTATTCAAAGAGAACAAACTTTGGTATTTTCTGTGGGTTTTGTAGCTGAGGCTTTCAACTAATAAAACCCAGAGCAGTTGGGAATGCCATGAAATATTTGCCAACTTTCCCCGAAAGTTCACAGTCCCACTTCTTCCAGGGCCCTCCCATCCTCATTCATCACCCTCATGACAATCAATCACATTAACCAATCTTCCCACAGAAACTAAAGGAATTTGGATTTCTCTACATCCATCACCATTGTGTCAGGGATTCATTCCAAAGCATTACAGTGTCATTCAGATTCATTAGTTACAACCCTATATCCCTTCCCTTTTGGCTCATCCTCAACAAGCTGGCTATTATTAAGGTGACAGAATAGTAAAATCCCCATGTTCAATAGTTTTAGGCCCTAAAACAGGCAGGTTGGTCACAATCTGATTGGGGCTCTTGCAAAACTGCAGAAAAGGGAATCAAATTAATGAGGGAAACCTATCCATGAGTCTATTTCCATATTTCAGTAAATCCAGGCATAGCTTCACAGAGTCTGGAGGACAGACACCTGGTGTTTTCTCAGTCTAGATTAAAGAGGAAAATATGCTATGCTTGCCAGTCCCCTAAAAAGCTTTTTCTCATTTGCTTTCTTTACCTCTCCCTCCTCCTTCTCTTCCCCATCTGGCCTTTGCCTTGGGTAGAATTAGGGACTCCTAAGAAAACCCCAAAACTTGTCCTTAGAATCTCCTATGGTCCTCTGCCAGTCTCCTAAGGGCTTGCTGACGGGTGGTCATAAATGTAAGGGTGGAAAGGAAGTAAATGAGCACTTACTAAGAGTCAGTGTGTTTAATATACATTATCTTCTCCAATTCTCAAAGCACAGAGTTACAATTTTTCTGGTCTTTCTACTAAGGAAACTATGGCTTTGGGTGGTTAAATATCCAATTTAAAATAAAACACAGGGAGGGCCTCCCCGGTGGCGCAGCGGTTGAGCGCTGGGTTGCGAAGCTGCCCGCAGCCTCTGTAGCGCCGGTTCGATCCCCGGCTGCTCCCCGGCCACTGGAGGAGGGTCCCACATGGCGCGCAGACCTCTCCTGCAGCCCGCTGCTCCCCTCAGCAGTGTACTTCGGTCCTTCTGCCTGCTCTGCTCCCCGCTCTGGCTCTGGTGAATTCTCTCACCCTCCCGCGCTTCTGACTGTACCCAGTGCATGTATAAACAAAACAAACAAATAAATAAATAAGTAAAACATGCGTCTATATAAAAAAAAAAAAAAAAAAAAAAAAAAATAAAATAAAACACAGGGAGGTGGATTTTAATTTAGGCCTGCTTCCACATAAATCCATACTCTTTCTTATATAACACTTAAACTCTGGGCGCCCAAAGCCGGCATGACAGCTTTGTAGAATGACTACCATTCATATGCAGTAAAAGGTGTCCTCTTCCTCCCTCTTCTGCAAGTAGGAGAGTCACATTTCTCAGCCCCTCTCCAAATGAAGAAACCTAACTTTTGACTTGCAAAATCTTCCCCTAGAATGATAAAGCAGATAGCCTGACTCCTGCTGACTTGGGAGGGTACCAGCCTGGTTCTCTAGGGAATACTCAAAGAAAAAGCCTAACTACTATGGTCTATATTAGAGGTCAAAGTTTCAAAGGGAATGTCAAAGGAGGAGTGTTTATTTTAGAGGACAGAGGAAGGAAAACCAGAATCTAGAGAAAGACCTACAAATTTCTAGCCCAAGATCACAAGCTACTTATAGACACTGATGACAAAAGACAGTGATCCAGGGTCCAGATAAAGATGTTTGGGTTGGGGGTGGGGGGTGGGAAATGAAATGAAAACAAAGACTAGGGAGCAAAGGCTTCTAGGAGAGGTTAAAGACCTCTGTGTAGGACAAGAGCTCTAAACCACCTAATCTTGCTGCATACCCTACCATGGAGTAAAGCTGGACTTAGAGAAGAAAAACATCTCAGTTTCACTAAGTGAGATCATTAAAGAGATGACACTAGATTACAGGGTTCCGAACACTCTCCATGGCTGGTTCTCTGCCCAGGCTGCCCTTTCCTTCAGGAAAGGGATATATGATGGCACTGAGAAAATTAGGACAGTGAAATCTTAGATAGTAATTGGTCAGTGAGGGAGTAGGGAGGCTGTAGGTAAGAGAAATAGGAAGGTGGAATGTGTGTATGGGAAATCTCAGTTTGGGTACCCAGGGTATCCCAGGTACCTAAATTTAGGCAAACCTCTAGGCTTCTCAGATTCGGTGATCCTGAGAAGGTCCCTTCTTCACCAGGAGCTTCTTGCAGAGATCAGTTCATTCAGTTACTTAACAGAAGACTGATTCTTTGATTCCTGTTTGATAGATCTCCTAATCCTGAAGGAAAAGCAGCACATTATACACTCATTATAAAAGGAGGGGACATGTGAGTGCTTCCCTTCCTGGAATAAAGTGCTTATTAGGACGTTTGTTGCATGTCTGCACTGAGCCAACACT